GCATCGCGTCCAGACTCCCCCGATCTGCCGACAAACAGCTGATCGGCAGATCGGGGCAGCCATTTAAATTTAAATGAAGCCGCGATTATTTTAATCGCGGCTTCATTTCCCCCTTCCGATCTGGCTAATCTACATGCCTCCGTCGAAGGAGGCATGTAGTCTAGACACACCCCTGGACAGTTAGGAAGTTTTTCCTAATGTCCAACCTAAACCTTCCCTGCTGCAGTTTAAGCCCATTGCTTCTTGTCCTATGAGGGGGAAGATCTAGGTGTAATGAAACCTAGTGTATGAGGAACCCACTTCAGAGAAGGGAAAATCACAGAAGGGTTAGCAAATGTTCTCTTTCCCATTCTCCCTAGCTGCTGTGTTGTATATCCCCTCTTAACCAGTCCCCTTTTGTTCCTTTCTCCCCGGCATGGGGCACAAATTCTGCCTGGATTCTCTGTCTGTATTCCAGAGGGTGCTGGGATGGTGAATGAGGATGAGGAAGAGACTCCCCATCTGGAAAGTTGTGAGGACTTCCAAGGAACGGTCCTGGGAAGATCTGATGGGAATTTTGATGAGAATCATAAACCAGGAAAAACCTGCGGAAATCAACCCAGCTTAGAGAGGCCGCTGGGTTATAACCTAGGGAAGAAAACATGTGAACCCATAAATGCTGGTGGAGAGTGTGAGGACTTCAAGGAAATCACAGATCAGCAGAGAATCGCCTCAGAAGAGAGAAAAAACACATGCACTGAGTGTGGGAAAACCTTCATTCGGAGATCACACCTGATTTCCCATCAGAGGATCCACACAGGAGAGAAACCTTACAAGTGTCTTGTCTGTGGGAAAGGTTTCAATCAGACTGCAAACCTTATTTCCCATCAGAGGATCCACACGGGGGAGAAACCCTATAAATGCCTGGACTGTGGCAAAGGTTTTAATCAGGGCTCCCACCTTGTTAGGCATGAGAGAACCCACACGGGGGAGCAACCCTATAAATGCATGAACTGTGGGAAAGGTTTCATTCAGAGCTCACATCTTATCAGGCACGAGAGAACCCACACAGGTGAAAAACCCTATAAATGCCTGGACTGTGGGAAAAGCTTTGTTCTGAGCTCAGATCTTATTTCCCATCAGAGTAGCCACATGGGGGAAAAACCCTATAAATGCCTGCTCTGTGGGGAAGGTTTTGATTGGAACATGCAGCTTGTCAGACATCAGATGCACCACATGGGAGAGAAACCCTACAAATGCTTGGATTGTGGGAAAGGGTTTAGTGACAGTTCAGCCCTTATTATACATCAGCGACTCCACACGGGGGAGAAACCTTATAAATGCCTCGACTGCGGAAGACGATTCAATCGGAGCGCACATCTAACGAGGCACAAGAAAACCCACATGGGAGATAAACCCTATAAGTGCCTGGACTGTGGGAAAAGCTTCAACCAAAGCTCCTACCTTATTTCCCATCAGAGAACGCACACAGGAGAGAAACCCTATACATGCCTGGAGTGTGGGAAAAGATTCAGCTGGAGCTCCAATCTGATTTCACATCAAAGAACTCACACAGGAGAGAGACCATACAAGTGTCTGGACTGTGGGAAAAGGTTTGTTGACAACTCCGCCCGTATTAAACATCACAAGATCCATACAGGAGAGAAACCTTATAAATGCCTCCACTGCGGGAAAAGTTTCAGCCGGAGATCAACCCATGTTCGACATCAGAGAATGCACACAGGAGAGAAACCTTGAATGTCGGGAGTTGCTTCTGTTTGTATCAGGCATCAGCACATCCATACAGGGAATAGACCTCTTAAATATGTTTAACATGGAAAATGTTTCAAGTGGAATTGTCATTCGAGACTCCACACAAGAGAAGTTCTGTCAATTCCATCACTAGGACTGGACGTAATTTCTTTAAAAAATGAATCCATTCCCCCTGTACCTATCTTTGATTTCATTCATGCTAAGCCAGACTCATCAAGGCTGTAGATTTAAATGTCCCAGGCCTGGAGGAGGAATTCAAACCTATTCCCAATATTGTGTGATCGTTCTGAGCTTAAATCTCAATGGACAAGTATTGGTGAAGTAGGTTCTGGCCTCTTTCCTGCCAATTTGCAGACGGCAATTTGGCTTTTCACCTTTCATGCAGGTGACGTTAAATCTTTTGTAATGGATGTGACTGTGTCAGAGGGCTCTGAACAGGGCAGGTGTAGAGAGATCAGTAGAGAGCCTGGGTAAATCTGTTCTCCTGAGATGGAATCATCTTGACCAAGCTATAGATTGTCACTTTATATGGTCCTGAAAGCCTCTAATAAATCACCATTTATTAGGGGTTGTTCTCTATTTGTTGAAGGCCATTTGGTCACTTAATAGTGTATTAGTTTTGTTTTTCAGGACATAGTGCCCAATGTATTGGCAGAGCCCTGCATGGATACCAAATTGGTATCTGCATCTGCAAAAATGAGCCGTGGCTAAAAAGTGAATATCCTCACATTTGCAGGGTTCTAGATACAAAATTGGTATCCACAAAAATGAGCCATGGTTACAAAGTGGATATCCTCAGATTTGCAGGGTTCTAGATACAAAATTGGTATCAGCAAAAATGAGCCGTGGATATTCTCACATTTGCAGGGTTCTAGATACAAAATTGATATCCACAAAAATGAGCCGCGGCTATAAAGTGGATATCCTCACATTTGCAGGGTTCTAGATACAACATTTGTATCCACAAAAATGAGCCGTGGTTACAAAGTGGATATCCTCATGGTTTGCAGGGTTCTAGATACAAAATTTGTATCAGCAAAAATGAGCCGTGGATATCCTCACATTTGCAGGGTTCTAGATACAACATTTGTATCCACAAAAATGAGCCGTGGATATCCTCACATTTGCAGGGTTCTAGATACAACATTTGTATCCACAAAAATGAGCCGTGGATATCCTCACATTTGCAGGGTTCTAGATACAACATTTGTATCCACAAAAATGAGCCGTGGATATCCTCACATTTGCAGGGTTCTAGATACAACATTTGTATCCACAAAAATGAGCCGTGGATATCCTCACATTTGCAGGGTTCTAGATACAACATTTGTATCCACAAAAATGAGCCGTGGATATCCTCACATTTGCAGGGTTCTAGATACAACATTTGTATCCACAAAAATGAGCCGTGGATATCCTCACATTTGCAGGGTTCTAGATACAACATTTGTATCCACAAAAATGAGCCGTGGATATCCTCACATTTGCAGGGTTCTAGATACAACATTTGTATCCACAAAAATGAGCCGTGGATATCCTCACATTTGCAGGGTTCTAGATACAACATTTGTATCCACAAAAATGAGCCGTGGATATCCTCACATTTGCAGGGTTCTAGATACAACATTTGTATCCACAAAAATGAGCCGTGGATATCCTCACATTTGCAGGGTTCTAGATACAACATTTGTATCCACAAAAATGAGCCGTGGATATCCTCACATTTGCAGGGTTCTAGATACAACATTTGTATCCACAAAAATGAGCCGTGGATATCCTCACATTTGCAGGGTTCTAGATACAACATTTGTATCCACAAAAATGAGCCGTGGATATCCTCACATTTGCAGGGTTCTAGATACAACATTTGTATCCACAAAAATGAGCCGTGGATATCCTCACATTTGCAGGGTTCTAGATACAACATTTGTATCCACAAAAATGAGCCGTGGATATCCTCACATTTGCAGGGTTCTAGATACAACATTTGTATCCACAAAAATGAGCCGTGGATATCCTCACATTTGCAGGGTTCTAGATACAACATTTGTATCCACAAAAATGAGCCGTGGATATCCTCACATTTGCAGGGTTCTAGATACAACATTTGTATCCACAAAAATGAGCCGTGGATATCCTCACATTTGCAGGGTTCTAGATACAACATTTGTATCCACAAAAATGAGCCGTGGATATCCTCACATTTGCAGGGTTCTAGATACAACATTTGTATCCACAAAAATGAGCCGTGGATATCCTCACATTTGCAGGGTTCTAGATACAAACTTGGTATCAGCAAAAATGAGCCGTGGATATTCTCACATTTGCAGAGTTCTAGATACAAAATTGGTATCTACAAAAATGAGCCGCGGCTATAACGTGGATAGCCTCACATTTGCAGGGTTCTAGATACAAACTTGGTATCTGCAAAAACGAGCCACGGATATCTGGATTCACATCTCTGGGGGTGGATACAAAGTGGATACCCGTGGATTTGCAGGGCTGTCCTAATAGGGAACTTCACAAGACGAATGGCCACTGGCTAGCATGCTCTCCTGTGTTATGGGGACCATGGTCTGACATGTTTCCATGATATTTTAGAATTCTTTCCTGATTATTATACAACAGCAGCAGAACAAATACCGACGGGGCCCGTGTGAGATAGGGATGTAAAAGGCTAACTGGTACCTTACCCTTAATGGGTGAGGCGTACCTGTTCTGGTTAGCTGGTAGAGGCTGGAGCGGTTTCCCACCTATGACGGGCCCAGCCCAGCCCCCCTACCGCATGTTACATGCTGTTGCTCTCAGTGGGGCTGGCAGGGACTGGTGGCCCACAGCGAAGCCTCCACCCTGGGAGTGGGCCCAGCGGCAGCAACGCCTCTTTCCTGGGAGCAGGGCTGTCAGGGGCTGGTGGCCCTGCTCCATGGAGGCTTCGCTGCAGGCTCTGCACCTTGTACCCTGAGCAGACCCTCAGGTCTGCAGCATTTTGTACTACAGAGCCCACAGCGCGTGGAACCACCAACTTCTTTAGCGGTTACACCGTTCCCTTTTTTAAACACCTTTTTACACCCCCAGCGTGGGCATCGCAGGCCAAGAGGCAGACATCGCAACGGGGACAGAAAGTCCTGCCTGGCCCCTGCAGTGATGTGAGATACAGGAGTCGGGAGAAGGAGAGCGCGGGAGATAAACGGCGGGGTCGTCTCTGCCGAGCCAGGCCACTGAGGCTGAGAACTGTACACTTGCTACCCTGGAGCTACCCTGTGATCACTGGGGGAAGCCGTCCCTGGAGCTTTGGCTACAAATGACACTGCTTAGAGTCCCAGGGCTGGAAGAGACCCCAGGAGTCATCAAGTCCAGCCCCCTGCCCAAAGCAGGATCAACCCCAACTCAATCATCCCAGCCAGGGCTTGGTCAAGCCGGGATGTAAAAACTTCTAGGGATGGAGATTCCACCTCCTCCCTAGGGAACCCATCCCAGCGCTTCCCCACTTTCCTAGGATAATAGTTGTTCCTAATATCCAACCTAGACCTCCTCCACGTAACTTGAGACCATTGCTCCTCTGTTCTGCCCTCTGCCACCACTGAGAACAGCCTCTCTCCATCCTCTTTGGAAGTTGCAGGCTGCTGTCAAATCCCCCCTCACTCTTCTCTTCTGTAGGCTCGCAGGCACACCCGTGATTCCCAGATGAATGAGGCTCCGCAAAGCCAAGAAGGAAACTAAGGAACTCAACAGACCCCGGCCATGAAGCTGGCAGAAGTCCATTTCCGGCACAGGTGGGCAATAAAAAGTATGTGAACCAAGGTGGTCACGTCTCCATAGTGTCCTTTGTTGGGGTGACAGAGAATTTCTCTGCCACCCTCCCCCTATGCTTGTCAAGGGCACCCCCAGGGGATAAAACCTTCAGCCAGGAGCAGAGATGTTCCCTGGCTCCTGTGAACCCGAGCTCCCTGGCATTCCGGCTCTCAGTGTTCGCTTCTCTGTGGCTAAATCCCAGCATCTCCAATAGATCCCCTGCATTTTTTGGCACACGGCTGTACTGCTGACGCCTGTGGGAGCCGTAGCACCGGGGTAGCCTGGGGCTGAAATTCTTTGTGTGGAGCTGGGCTCGGTACAAAGTGGGGAGATTTCTGCTTTTAATTCTTGCTTTGAAAGAATAAAGTAGAATTTAGTTTCTCAGACTCCCAGAGTCCTTTGTCTTGAATCACAGATAAAAATACCCTTTCACGGAATCATCTGTGAGGCTTTATTTCCCCAACCCCAGGCCTTACAGATGGTACAACCCAGAGCTACTACAGGGAAGTGATGGGGGCCTCCTCCAAGAAGGGCTGGGTGAATCCAGCCCCCCTCTCTCCCAGCCTGCTCCTAGGGCAGAGGAGGCGGGTGCCCTTAGCCGGGCCAGGCGGCAGGAGGCTGCACTGCTGTTTGGTTCCTGGGTCAGCTCCTCCCTTGCGCGCCGGGAGCCTGGGCGGAGCCGCTGCTGCCCAGCGGGGTCGGGGGGCCGGGGGCCAGTTCTGCGGCGGCTGGAGTGCGCCCCTAGGCAGCCCCGGGCTCTGCCCGCCCAAGCTGGAGCCTGCAGGTGCCAGGGAGCCCCGAGGCCAAGGGCCGGGGAGGGATGTGGCCCCGGGCAGCGGCTCCCTGGCTGGGCAGGCGCCGGGCGGGAGGGAGCAGAGCTGCGGGGGGGCCAGGGGGCGGTCCCTGGGGCGTCTCTGTGGCTGGGGTGGGGGGGGGGACTGGGCTAATGACCCTGAGATGCAGGAAAGGAGGCTTGGGGGAGGGGGGTTGTTCATCCGAAACTGTGACCCCGACACCGATCCCTGAGCCAGGCCAATCCCCCCTTCCCCCGAGCTGCTGCTGAGCCCTGTTTGCTCCCCCCGAGACAGGCTGTTCTGAGCCGGGCCAGGAGCCTGGTCTAACGAGCAGCCAGTGTGGGACCCTCCCAGCTCCGGGTCCTGGTGCCCTGGGCCTGGCAGGCTGAAGACCAGACTTTGGGTGTCTCAGGCTGAGACCCATCTGCTGAATTTTCCTTTCTCTTCTGTATCACTAGACTGGTCCAGATGAGACTTTTAATCCCTTAATGTGGGGTAAAAGTCATTTCTACTGCACCGAGACAAAGGGGACACATACTTATTTCCATTGAAAATAATCCAATTGAGGCCGAGTAGGGAAATCGGGCTTGAGAAAGTCCCAGCGTGTGATGTGAGGATTCTTACTCGGTATATTGTGGCATGTGGGGACCGTGCGTAACGTTTAGAAAGCTTTGACCTTTCATTGACTAATTATTGTCTGACCCGCCCCATGGTGTCCCACAACTGGGAACATTTAAACCAAAACAAATTGAAACTAAATTCTTAAAAAATGAACATTGAGCTCATCACTGACGCGATTTAAAAAAAAATCAAATCTGGCCCAGCTGGCGTATAAATGTAACAATACCATCTCCACTACAGGTTGAACCTCTCTCGTCCCTCACCTTTGGGACTTGACCGCAGCCGAAGCACAGAATTTACCAGATTTTGGGAGGACAGTATTGCCTAACAGCATTCCCAACACTGCTGCTGTTTATTGGGCTCTTAGAAGACATTTAGGGTTATGTTAGAGCTAGATCACACTCAAAAACCAGGACTGAGGGC